TGTCTCTACATTAAATATCCTTATTTGAATCCTCCTCGTCATCCTGCCTGCCTCCACACACCTTGACCGTGACAGAATAACCGACCCAAAAGTAAGGTATAGCGGCGTCTTACCCCTCGTTTGTTTTTGACAGTTTTTATTTTGTTTTTTGATGGATTACCCCGCATTCCAAATCCGCCAGCTGGAGCAGGAGGAACGCTCTCTTGAGGACCACACAAAGATTTTCTGTCCCTGGCCTACCTCACGCACTACCCGGACAACTGCCTCTGTGGCTTCTATCAAGTCGGACTAAACGCCACCACACGAGCACAGTTGTCTGGGGATAGTCCTCGAGAGAGCCTCGCCACCTTCGAGTGAGTGCTCCAGCCCCACTTAGGACCCTGAGCCCAGCCCCCCATCTCCCCGCGGTACGGAGCATAAGCCTGAGCCCACCGATGACGGAGAGCCATTTCCCGCTGCGATCCACGACTAGGCGGAGGATCGCCTCGGATGTGGAACCCAAACTGACCAGGTGCGAGAGCCGGTCACAGTGCCCACCACGAGGGAGCAAGCCGTGGACGGTGTGAGCGCGAAGAGGAACTTCCTTCCCCTGCATCATGGCTGAGGGTGAGCGGACTATGGAGGGTATTCAGGCTCGAGAGAGCCTCGCCACCTTCGAGTGAGTGCTCCAGCCCCACTTAGGACCCTGAGCCCAGCCCACCATCTCCCCGCGGTACGGAGCATAAGCCTGAGCCCACCGATGACGGAGAGCCATTTCCCGCTGCGATCCACGACTAGGCGGAGGATCGCCTCGGATGTGGAACCCAAACTGACCAGGTGCGAGAGCCGGTCACAGTGCCCACCACGAGGGAGCAAGCCGTGGACGGTGTGAGCGCGAAGAGGAACTTCCTTCCCCTGCATCATGGCTGAGGGTGAGCGGACTATGGAGGGTATTCAGGGCCAAAATGAGGAGGAGAGACCGGGGAATCCCCTGTCGAGCCTCGGAATGGCTCTCGATCCCCTGTCGAGCCTCGGAATGGCTCCCGATCCCCAGTTCCGTGCAGGAAGGGCTCCAGCCGAAGAGCTCTCTCCAGTGCCCGCTCCGGGCTCCTCCAGCGTCACCATGGTCGGAGTCTCCCTCACCCCAGCCTCCGAGGCCCGAACTCTGCCTCGGTCCATAGACCCAGTGGCTCCACCTCGGCTCCTAACTCTCTCGCCTCCATCGTCACCCATCGATCCATCAGCTCCACCGGGCTCCCTCGTCCCTCCGGCTCTGCCTTGGTCGGGCGTCGACCCGCCATCGCCTCTGGACTCCTCTCCTCTGGCTGCGCCTCGTCGCTCTGTCCTACCGGCTCCGTTGGGCTCCTTCCTCCCGTCAGCTCCACCTTGGTCCTCAGTCGCTCCGCCGCGGATCTCTGGATCGCCTCCTTGGTCGCCAGAGCCCTCGGCTCCACCCTGGCCCCCCGGATCCTCGGCATCACCCTGGCTCGTCGGCTCTCCGTCTCTCCTGCTCCACCGCCGTTGGTCGGCCCCCTGGAGTCGGTGGACATGGCTCCTCTCTCCGTCGGCTCCACCGTGGGCCGCTATTATGGCTGTGGCCTGGGTCCCACTTGGCTCCTCCTCCTGCTCTGGTTCCCTCCTGTAGTCTCTCTGGCTCCTGCCTCCATCGTCATCTCCCTGGACTCTGTTAGCCGTTCTCCGCCGAAACCTCCACTTGTCTGCTCTGCCTACAAGCCCTTTGCCTTCCCCTGTCACCATCTCACATCCACTGCTTTGTCCCCCTCCGCCCCTCCCTCTGTTTCTACGGTGCGAGGACGCACCTTCCGGGAAGGGGGAGTAATGTAACACCCCTGTGGACTTTGTTGTGGTTTCTTCCCATTGTGTTGGTTTAGCCCGTCTAATTATTAGTTAATCACCTCATTGTGCTCACCTGTCTGTCCCTCGTTAACTGCCCTTTATCTGTTCCTGTCTCTTGTGTTCTAGTTGGTCGGTTATTGTGAATGTTACCCTGTGTGTGTGTGTGTCTCATCTACCCGAATCTGCCTTTGTTGTCTCTACATTAAATATCCTTATTTGAATCCTTGTCATCCTGCCTGCCTCCACACACCGTGACCGTGACAGTTTCATTGTTGTCAGCATTACGTCTGAGTATGATTCAGTGGGCCATATAACACTTAATTATCAAGAAATTACTTACCTTTTGCAGTTTTGGTTTAACATACTTGCCTTAACCTTACACCAGATTTTTTTTTATTTAGTAACTTTCAGGAGGGTGTACTCATTTTTGCAACACATTTTATCACTTTGATAAGAAATGTTTTTCTTATTTTCTTGAATAATTTTAACATTCTTCTTTGGTAACTGATCAAGCAGACTTGCTGGAATATTATATCTTTAAAAACCATAACATGTCTAATAAGCAAAGAGTAATTGCTTAATTTAAGTTTCAGAGGGGGTGTACTCATTTAAGCTGTGTGTGTGTGTGTATATATATAATATGCACCCAGGCATAAGGCCTCCCCACCTCCCACATGTCCGAAAACTTGCAAGTGCTTTGGTGGAAGTGTGGAGAAACATCTCACAGCAAGAATTGGTAAATCTGGTTCACTCCATGAGGATGAGATGCACTGTAGTACTTAAAGCTGCACAAGATATTAACAGCGACCTTTGTTCAGGGACTCGTCATTCCATTTCTGCTTGTCTAATGCCTGTGTGAATCTTGTTCCATTTGTCTCAGTTGTTTAAATCATTGTTAAAACATTTAAACAAGAAATTAGCTGGAAATAAAATCAGTTGAATGCGAGAGGGTATTTATTTTTTGCTGCTGAGTTTAGAATCAAGAGGCTTTACACAAATGTTAGACATAGAAATCCAATACTTTTATTTTACATTCATACATCTATATTTTACAGTAAGATTAATGCATTTTTTTTATTTAAAAAAGCCCAATCCCAAAACATGTCCTGAAGATGTATAGCTCACACAATGAGTTGCATTTTTTCTTTAAGTGTGTGAAAAGCATTTATAAAGCATACATGCACGCACACACTCAGTCGCACTGTCCTTCTGTCACAAAAACATTCTCACATGTTTACACACTCAAAAAGGGGAAAAAGGACACGTGTTGCCCTTCAGTTGTACCTTAGTAGAGCTGGGCTGAATGAAAAGAAATTCAGACACCATCGAGAAAGGCACCTTGAGTACACAGTGTATACACAGACAAAAAGAAGAAAAAAGACGATAGTATAACCTTTTACGTAGCTTCTAGAACGACAACAAAACTGTAAACCTTCACTTGCCAAAAGAAATAAAAAGTCACGTTTCTATACACATACATCTGAAGCAAAATATCTCCTTGGTCATAATATAGCAGTACCTTTTCTTTTTTTTATTATTATTATTATTATAATTATTATTACTTTTGAATGCATATGTTACCATGTAATTCCAGATCGGCTCTGCCAGCAGAGAGCAATCTTGATGTAAAGTAATTACACTTTGTCACAATATTTATGCAGTTGCCTACATAGTGAAAGTTTATCAGTGGCAACCCACCTCATGCATGTTTTCCATTTGAGAGAGCAGCCATTATTCTCAAAAGTACACAACAAAAACCAAGTAAGATATTCAATGCTATAGTCACAGTTAGGAGTTCCTCTTACAAGACAGAGGCCGTTCCAACATAGTGTAACCTGTACATTTATATATATATATATATATATATATATATATATATATATATATATATATATATATATATATATATATATATATATATATATATATAAAAATCTATAGACACACAATTCTTTGCTTTGCTGGAAATGTGTTTGACTTAAAATATTCCGACCTCAATCAAAATCCCCAATACCTTCAGAAAAGTTTTTTTTTCTCGTTAGAAAATACTGTATTTTCAAAAACCGGATTTAAATGTTTTACATTCCATCCTTCTTCCAACAAAATAAAGCTTTTTTAGTAACTCAAAAATGTAAAAACACTCCCAACATTAATATATATATATATGTAAATATAAACAATAAAGTGACTACAAGAGACCATATTGTGGTTCTATGTTCAAATGTAGAGGAAACCCGTTTAGACTGGCATTTTCTTGCCAGTTTTTTTTTTTCTTTCTTGTCCGATTAACACAGTGTGGCACTAAAATTTAGAATGATTGTACAAGTCAGGTCATATAATGCCATGGTCAGGTCTGCCCCTAAGTGCCTTCTCAGCATGCCTTCGTTAAGTCGGTCGGTAGGTCTGTCGAGGACATGCGATACTGGATCTTGGTATTGGTGATTGCGCCGTGCTTCTGCCGCAGGTGTAACCGCAGCTGACTCTTGTGGCGAAAATGCAAGTTGCATTTCTCACACTGAAAAGCAAATGCGAGAACAGCGTTTAGGGTGAGAATTAACACTTTTGCACTTTACAGATACAGTTATGCTATCACTCTGTATGTGCTTACATGATAGGGCTTTTCTCCCGTGTGTATTCGCAGGTGACTTTTCAGCGTCTGCAGATGGCGGAAACGAGTGCCACAGATTTCGCATGGATATGGCTTCTCTCCGGTATGAATCAGAACGTGAGCCCGAAGGTGAGCAACCTGTGCAAAGAGGTCATGTTAGTCTTACAAATGTCTTTTTCTATATCTGTGCAATTGACTAACTCGAAGCACTCACCTGCACAAATCTAGCGCCACATGTCTCGCACTTGTATGGCTTTTCTCCTGAGTGAATTCGTGTGTGGGTTTTGAGGTTAGCTGGTCTGTTGAACTGAGCGCCGCAGATATTGCATCTATACGGTTTCTCTCCTGCAGCACAAATGAAAGGAGGTAAAGCAAAACATCGACCGTTGCAGCCAAAATGACATTTGTAGCAGCGGCTGTTTATTTTTACCGGTGTGAACTGTTTTGTGACTGGCAAGGTTTCCCTTGTAGCGGAATGCTGCTTGGCAACGGTCACATTTGTATGGCTTGTCGCTGTGGACCTGAAGCATGTGCCGTTTCAAGGCTTCCTCCTCTGCAAACTTGGAGTCGCATTCATTACAAAAGTATGTTCCATTTTCTGTGAGGCAAAGGAGAAATGGTTTTAGGTTGGTTTTGGAAGATGCAAACAGGTTTTTAGGAAACTATTTGGAAAAGTATCTCACCACAGCTGGAATCGGAGTACTCCGAGTGCATCTCAGACATCTCCTCGGCCAGACGCGAGGCGGATGTGTTGGGACAGACGTCAGAGTGCTGTGGAGACTGGGAGCCACAGGACGAGCATTTTAAATGGCTCATATAGAGAGAAGAGTGGCTGTCGCTGTTCCTCTGCGATCCCTCCAGAGTTCTGTTTAGGAAAACAGCACATTTTAGGTTTTTTTTAGAATATTGAATGAATTTCACACATTCCTGCTAAGAGGTAAATCCTCTGTGTGCTTTAAGAGGATTGGAATGGATAAAGAAAAATTCAATCTGGCTTTGTGGAGGTGGTGGGTGGAGAACCGTTCCACAAAATACTGAAAAACCTGCAATTCTGAACTTCATTGCGTTAGGAAACAAGATCTTCTAATCAGTTTCTGTACACAGAGGATGACACCTTTTCGGCTGTTTAAGAGAGTCAGATTTCTTTCGGAAAAACTCACCTGTTGACGATGTTGTTGAGGCGACTGGCCTGAGGCACGGTGAATTCCTCGCCTTGCTCGCTGATCTTTGTTGTCGCCTTTGAGTCGGGATGTTCAGAATCAACGTGGTGAAGAAAAGCAGACAAGCCCGGCCTCTGCGGGGAGTGCATTCCAGGGTCACGAGGACTGGTCTCCTCCTCCTTGGAGCTCTGATTGAGAACAATGAATTTGTATTTCTTCCAGTTACGAGCTTTAGGGTCTTGAGTACCTTGAGAGGTTGGAGGTTGCGAGGACTGCGCGAGGGCAGCATTTTTGCTACTGCTCGATTCCGTTGGGGAATTGGGCTGGCAGTCTGATTTGAGGGGGCTCTGAGGACTGCTCATCAAGGTTTTGCGTCCATTAGAGGATATGCCCATGGAGTAGTGTTGGTGGCTCAAATGCTCCTCTGCCAGGGAACTTTGCTCTTTCCCAGTCTCCCTCTGCTGCTGCTCCTGGGCCAGGCTGGTGAAGCCGTGCTTTCTGGAGCTCATCCCAATCGAATGGACCACTCCCTCCAAGGTCTCCCGCTTCATTTCCTCATCCCTTCCCAGCTCTCTCGAGTATGAACTGGCATGGCAAGCGGTTGAGCTCCCGCCGGTAGCGCTACGGGTGAAATCGGCCAGCACGGAGTTGTTGCCATCAGCCGGCGAGCAGTGTTTGTGATGGATGATGCCTCCCTTTGAGAAGTCTGAGAATGTGTTTTTGGTATCTGTCAGCTTGCAAAGAGGAAAGGGAAAACCTTGCATGGGATACTGGCTGTAAAGGTACGAGCTGTTAGGACCATTGACCCCGTTAAACATGCAGACACCATAGGGTCTCCCATCTCTGAAAGTCGCTGCCCGTCCAGGAACATTTTCCAGTATCTCATGGGGTCTGTAACTGTGAACGTCTTGAGGTAAAAGCAGGGGACTGACCAGAAAGTCCTCTCTGGGAAGTTTGATGGAGGAGTCACTGCATGGAAATATTGAGCAAATTAAAAACATCTGCTTTCTGCCATTTCAAGTATAGCACTTTCAACTTAGCATGTTGTATAATTAAGGACTTAGGTGAAATTTATGAACCCAGGAAAACATACCTGGACTTTATGAATCTGTGGCAGGTGTCAACAACGTGGTCCATCTGTAAATAGATGGCTGTGTTCATGATGGCCATGATGAGGCTCTCCTTCAGTGTGAGACGTGAAGTGTACATGAACTCCAGAAGGATTGCGAAACCCTCTGGGTCGACCTTCGGGTCCAGACTGATAGCGTTCAGGTTACATTTGTGTGAATCGGTAAAGATTGAGTAGAAGAGCCCACTGTGGAGAAATTATGATTTTAGTATGCTTTTTGGGGTCACAAATTAACATATTTCCACTACAAGAAAGCATGCAACAAATCCAAATAGTCTTCCGCACCTGCATGCCATAAGGACCGTTTTGTGTGCTCGAAACTGTTGTCTGTTGACCAGAATCGTGACATCTGTAAGGATATCTCTGCTACGCATTCGGTTCAGGTTGAGCAGAACATCACTTGCATGACGCGTGAATTGGATGCAGCTGTCGGCTGCACAAGCCATTTTTTCGAGATCTGTTAGGAAACAAAGTGAACCGTGAATGATGTAATCGGTGCTCACTGAACAACTTGCGCTAAAATCAGAAAAGTTGGGTATTATTCTTACATCACAGAAATTTTTGAAGCTCATATTAGCGGTTTAAAAACTTCAGGGAAAAAAAGGCAATGCTGTTATTCTTGGCTTTTTTTTAAGCAGGTATGTCAAAACATCTATTAAGAATATAGTTTTAATCCTGTTATGCATCAAAAATTTGTCAATGTGTACCTCCTCTGCTTTTCTTTTGACAAAGGAACACAAAAGGAGAGGTTATGGAGAATGACAGCCTCGGTTGCCATTCACTTTTATTGCAACTTTTTTTTTGGGATACAATACATGTGCATAGTGACTGAGGCTGTCATTCTGCCTGACATCTCCTTTTATGTTCCACTGAAGAAAGAAAATCATTAGGGTTTGGAACAACACGAGGGTGAGTAAATGATGACAGACTTATCATTTATGGGTGAACTATCCCTTTAATCTGAAAATCAATTACATGTAGCCTATAGTTCTCAAAGATGCCGCCAAATGTCCCTCTCTCTCCGGTAGGTGGCGTCAAATGATGCAAATATTTAGTTAGAGAACTGACGTCCATCCACGTGCAGTTCTGTCAGGTCTGAGAATCATTTTTCTTCCCACCTAAAATGATCTTTTATCTGACAGCATTATCCTTCAAGTTCACAGGTGTAATGAACTTTTAGGCACTTTGCGAGGGTAGTCACAGAAAAGGTATATTCATCTTAATATGTAGGCTATACCAAGTTCACTGAAATGTGCATTTACACAGTTCTTGCCTTCTGAAGAAAATTGCTGCTTTCCCTGCGATTTTAACGTCTTTACGTGTGAAGAATAAACTAGAATGAGTCATGGGAAAATGTCGTTAGGCTGTTTATTGCAGTACTGCGGACCGATACACTTCACTATTGAGGAATGAGTGTAATAACAGACTAAATGTAATAGTCAACCAACGCACCCCAAGAATTATGTTAATACTGTAGAAGAGTTTATGTCTTTAATAGATTAATTTTGTGACAACACATTTTCTACTTTCCAAAGTTCAGATAATGAACGATTCACCACAGACGGTTCTCCCAGTCACATCTGGCGCCTTGACACAAATATACTTTCACTGGACGCCTTTAAATAGTTAGGCGAACATTTCTCACATGTTGGACATTCAGTATTAGAGATTCTGTTTCCATTTGAGCCTCCATAACATCAATATCCCCGGCCGCGCGCTGTCATTGTGCCAAAGCAGCTTAATCAGCCTATGGCTCTTGTAATGCTCTTCTTGTGTGAGGAGGCAAACGCTCAGATGACCGGGATTTTAACCACTGGACAAACAAATAAAAATCACACACACTCAGAAACCCACCATAACACCTGAATACACCAGCTCTTCAGAACCCCTCTGAAAATGTTTTCTCCTGACCCGAATAACTTTTGTAGCCACTCTGATTTCATGTTCTGAACAGCTAGTTTTATTCCGTCGATTCTTTAAGAGATCTAAAGTTTTACGTCCACGAGATGTCACCCAGAGACCGTTTTGACGCAAACCGACACCGACAACACCTGCAACTCGCATATCAAGTCATATTTGGCATTTCGCCGGCATTTGGCGATCTTAAATCACTATAACCGTAAAACAACGTCAACTTCTCACGAACACAGAAAAGTATCATATGGCAGAGCACACGCGCTCTCTGTTGAGCTCTTATTTGTCTCGCATTCTTGCTCTCAGTTTCCATCTTATTAAGCGTTAAAGCTTATTTAACACTTTTACCCTATGTAACTGAACGCCATGAAATGTGCTCACTCCAGGAATAGAGCCCGATCCACAACACGCAAACAGCGGACAGAGATTTACGAGCCACTCGCTCAGTGCCAAGCAGCACTTTAATAATACACATTTTTTAAAATTAAAAAAAATATATATTTTTTTTTTTATCTATGTCTGTTCATCCATATATACATCTTTATAATATGCTGCATTTCTGGCGAGAACTTACAATTTTTTACAAAATGAAACACTCAACACACTGGCGACAAATAACAAACAGCTATATATACATACACACACACACACATTTAAAATGAAAACACGAGTACTGAGAAACTTGTGCAGGTCTGCTGCGCTCGTGCTGTTACAAGTGACAGCTACCGCAGAACGGTACAAACTTTTCTATTGCAACTCTACTGCCAAACACTGCCCGATTTTGCTGAAATACTATCAAATGTAACCCTTCATGAAATTTGACCAAAAAAAACAATAATGACAATATCAATGGTGTCTCTGCGCTATAAAATAAAATAAAAAGAAATGACAAACACGCTCAACGACTGTACAAACAAATCCGAAACCATCTCTAAGCTTGGGATGTGATTTATACCAGCATTTACGCACTGAAAACACAATGTGCACGGCTTCTGGCACAGGACAACAAAACCAAAACGTCTAGAGAAAGAGTGAGAGAGAGTGCAAACTCCGCTTTCCGAGCGAACTCCGGGGTTTAAAGCATGACCTGAGATAAATGCCTCGGTTAACGCTTCTATCTTTGAATTTGACCACGCACTACACAGTCTCTGGTTTAGAATCGTAACCCCCATGTGCTATTTAGTCAACTTTGAAAGCTGTCTTGTTCGGGGGGAGAAAAAAACGCGCACCGCGTCTGAATTTCCACTCCTCTGCTGCCTGCACATACTATTTACAACCAACCCCACGATCCCGCAGTGAGGACTGAAGGAGCAGTGTGATTCATGCAGGACGACCTAAACTGTCACAAGTATTTCCACTAAGACAGACCCACCACATAAACACTCTGCTCTAAAAACTGTCCGCAAAAACACCTACAATTCAGCCGAGATCAACATTTAACCATAAAATCCAATAAAACAGCCTAATGGACATGTGTGAGTAATGGCAACAGCGCGCCAGAGGAAAAGAATGTAAAAAAAATCACCTGGTAGTGCTTTCCTAGAAACTCCTTGCATCACCACTTCTAAGAACCCCAGTTCTAAGAATCAGGAGAGCTCAATTCTCGGAATTTGAGCTGGCGACCATACCATTTTTAGAGGACAGGGGAGTGTGATAGTTTGCCTCGAGTTTGTATTTCTTCACTTATTGTCAATATTTTATTCCCACACTGTTACACTTTAATAATTAGCCACAATGTTTTTGAAGTCGATGTTTAAAATGTCAGTTAAAGCATCGAATTAGCGTTATGATCGAGAAGAATCGTTGCATTCAGTGTTTGATTCCTCCTTCCTCATGGACGCGTCCAGACCGAGACGGTCACGTGGCCAGAGAAAGTGGCTTACGTACGTTGTCTCTTTAGCCCAGCCTCAAAATACTCAGAACTAATTTGCTATTCCATGACATAAGCAAAGTGTCCATTCGTTGCATTTCCCTGTATTAAACCCACGGCCATAACCTAGTCTATACAGAACATATCTGGAGCGCTTATTCACACGGACACATTTTGTTTATTTATTGTGTTTTTCTTTTTTCAGTGATATTTTTTCCCCCCTAGCATGTTATCTCTTCAGTGCCGTGGACCTGCTGGCCAGTGTGCATAAGGGTTTGTTTGACCGGGATTATATATACGAACACTGAGACATTGTGCTTGAATACTGGCTTTATTTCACATCTGGAATGTCGTGATTTGTTTTGCTCTGGACGTTTTTACATCTCAGGCCTGTTTGCAGCACAGCAGCACAGGGAGTAGATTTTGACATTATGTTCTTTCATGCTGGTGTGTCAGGGATGCAGTTAACTACTGCTGTCTCTGAATGTAAACTAGACTTTTAAAGAGGCTACACATAGTTTACATTAGAGTCATGATGAAGATTGCTTGTAAAATGGATACTGTGGAAAAACGATCAAAATGAACTGCGCAGAACAAGTTTTATACTATTAAAAGACTTTTCTTGCTCCACATCGATTTTGCCTTTTACAAAAGGTGTTTATAATAATCATATGACACATTTGTTACTTGCTCTTGCGTATTGTATATAGTTTAAAAAAATTCCTGTAGATACATAATGACAATGATAATAAAATAGTTTTTATTTATGTCAAGTCTGTGATTTGCTTTTTCTCTAAGTTCTTATGTGGCATATATGTATGTGTGGGCATTTATCTATTGAGACGTGAATACATAAGCAGAAAATATGAGCTTAATATTCATAGTATAGAGGGAGGAAGAACTCGCTTTTTTATTTTGACACATTTTCAATGTGTCAATCACTTTTACTTCTGTACTGTAAAGCTAACCGTTACTGGACAGCTCTGACCTACATATGCTAGTTTTTACATCACCTGTTTTAAGTTTGAGCAGTCAAAAGAATTATCATCAGTATAGTTGCATGTTTTATTTTTATTTAGCAGTTCTACCTTTATAGTAGTTTCTTTTTAGTTCTTCAAGGAAAACATTAAGGGGAACTGCAACAAGTACATTTTAATATATGCAACAAATAGAAGTTTTGTAGTGTGTAACAAAATACTGTTGAAGAACGGATGACTGGAATTAAAAATCAAGACACTTGGCGAAATCACTGGATCTTTTTAATCTCCATTACTTTATTCACTTCAGATTTACTCAGCCAGGTTTGAAACAACGACTGCTGAGTGATTCGCTTTCTGACTTGCTCACCTGGATAACTTCGTTTGTGGCTCCAGTTGGGGGGAACTGGTCCGTCCTCCCTTGAGCCGTTTATACCCTGACACAGAAGGAGCATCTGTTGGGCTGTGGTGGAAAAAAAAGGAAGAATTTCAGTGTGCATGTTTTCCCCCCTAACAGATTCATTGCTTTTGGCTGGGTTTAGTTGGTGCCTCTGTACTTTTTGCAGCCTCAATATTCTGCTGATTAATTTGTCGTCATAAATGACAGATTAAGGCTTATTGATTCTGATGCCATGAATACCAAAAGACACATTATGTTCATATATAATGTCATCACGTACTGGACCTTAATTTGTTTTCAGTTTCATTGATACACTTTGTCTGTTTATGACCTAATTGAGTGTTGTTTAAATAGGCCCACATCCGTATATGCCCTTTATCTTTCAACAAAGAATTTCACACTTAGAAATGCATGCATCAGGGCAGAAAATATATTATACATATTTAATAAAAATGTCTTGGCAGAAAACATGATTAACAACTGTACTTAAAGGGGTTTTCTTTTTCTGCATGTGTGAAGAGAGTTTGGTATTTTTATAAACAAATCAGAATGTAAAGTGAAGAAGATCAGGGCCCGTATGTATAAAGTATAGTCTTTAAGCTTTGACTTAAGTGTCAAAAAAATTCTTAGTAAAAAGTTGGACTTTTCTAAGAGTAGGAGACTTTAAAGATGCTAAAAGCAACTTTCAGTCAAGTCTAAGACACTCGGAGACACTTAAGTGTTGTGAACTAAGGACTATAATGATGTCAACACAAAATGGCTGACCTCAACCTCTGAATCAGCCAATAGTGAGCCTGCTCATGTAAAGTCACAGCAGCACAACACCAGTCATTTAATGTAACGACAATAAAATCATTTAATTAAGACACTGAAATATTTTAATATTTAAATGTATTTTTAAATGCTTTGCATTGTGCAAAATTATCACACATAATTACTGATGCTTCGTTTTCTATTGGTATGTCTCCTCGTTTACAGTTGGAGCAATGATGTGAACATGAGTTCCATCAATGGCTCCAACAACTCTATGAAAGCCCACAATCCTCATAAAAGTGACTTGTTTTTGCAATATGGTTTGGTGGTCAGTTGGAAAGTCAATAAACTGCCATATAGTAGTGGCCAAAAGTGATGTCCGGCCTAGGAAATTTGACATCTTCACCCTTAATTAAAAAAAAAAAAACTAAAACATATCGCATAGCCAGTTGTTTTATTTGTGATGATAATGCAATGAAATGTTAATAGCTTATGTTGTAGTCAGTGTGCTATTGTTGCCAATTTAGTGATTTTGTCACTCGATTTAGTGACTTCCTCATTTCTTTAGACTTTTTTTCAAAAGCCTATAGCAACAAAACCAATTTCTTGGACAAACCTTATCTACATTCCGAGACTCTCCCATGACGTCATAAAGGCGAGTTCACTGATCTATATAAATATAAATATAAAGCAGTGAACCCACCTTTATGAGGTCATCGAGCAACATTAATATAAGTGACCAGATAATTGAAAGCATAGGCAACACTGGTCAGTGTTTTTTTGTCCTTTATATTTTAATGGTTTAAGTGAAATGTGGGGTCATAAAAAAAAAAACACTTTTGGCCACTGTTGTGTTTGGTGGGGTTAGTGCCACAATTTGTAAGACCTTGCTTACGGTGTCATCACCGGTGCGTTGCTGCATTTTTCCAATTTTCCAGCCAAAAAAAAAATGTACTACTATAATTTCTGCAGTTAGAGCATTGACTTGTTGAGTGGAAGAGGTTATTAAATTTCTTTGTCAGTTACAAAAAAAAAAGACTTTTTGGTCTTGACAATCAAGTTTGTATCATTTTATCAACTCCATATCATCATATAACTCCAATATGTCATATCTTCGTTGGAAAGTGTTTGTCTCCTCTTTGCTGCCATCTTGTTACTCCTAACTAGGTTAGGAAACCTCTTCAGCTCTCTTAAATAATTTAAGAGCTGAGACCTAGTCTTAACACTTAGGAACCTTTATGAATCACTCTTATTCTTTTAACTCCTAGTTAACTCTTATTCTTTTAACTCCTACTCCTACTTAGAATACTCTTCTAAGTCTAGGAATAAGAGTAAAATTAAGTCATTCTTAAAATTTTGACACACTTATGACTAAAATTTTACTCTGAGCGGCTTTATACATACTGCCCCAAGTTTGTATTTATCATTTTTCCTACTGTTCATCTATGTCTCAGTCTTTTTGGGTTTCAATAGTGTCTTGATTTCTGCTTTGCATAATGCTAATGCAATCATATGATGTAATTATATGTATTGTGAGGGGAATATATATATATATATATATATATATATATTGTAAATCTGCTGGATAGCAACAGTGTCAGCATTGCACTGTTTGGGTACAACATCAACAGAAAAAAAAAAAAATCAAAAACACTCCTGAACTCTTGTGACACCATAGTGTGACTCAAAAGAAAAAAATCTCACAAAGTAGTGAGATGGAGATCAAATCCAGAAAGTGAAGAAGTGACAGAACCTGACATATAGTTTTCCTTTCTGACTCTTGGAGTTTTGTTTCAAAACAAGGTCTATCAAAAGGTTGTGACTTGAAACTACTTTAAATCTTCACCTAATATGCATAAGTAATGTAACAAATATGTAATAGCTAAATGTACCCCTCTAAATAAAGTTGAAATGTGTTCATATCATATTTAATGTACTTTTACACTTGCAGCATGTAAATGCTATCTTTCACATATCCAGTAGTATTCAAGGTATCTTGCAAGAATCTGTAATCTTTACTAAAAATAAATCTTTACCTCATAATTGCACTGAAAGAAATGTGCCGCTATTGTTGAAGTGTACACGGCAGGAAAACGTGTGCCAAAATAGTTTGCCTCTGTGCTACCTCGGCTAGTTGTACCCCGGATTGTGTGGGCTGATTTTTTAGAACAGAGGTGGAACAGACATGCAAGATGGAACGCCTCTATACTTTCTTGTGAAGATCATGCCTAGGTAGTCATAATAGAAGCATAAAGCGACAGCATGAATATTTTTGACCTTCTCATGACAGCCCACAATGTAGAATTTAATTTCAACAACAACCCACATAAAATGCATTTAGTGTTGTGAAGAGGCAGAAGTCATTTACTTTCCTCAGTTTAACACTGATTGACCTACTTTGTTATTTTGGCCTGAGGAGAAAATTTAATCAACGTAATAAATTGATTTTTCTGACCCACTAATATATTTTCCCAGCTTTGATTCAAGTGTGTTAGTTTAGAGAACATCTAATTGTTGTAGATGGAACAGGACAGCTTAAGACAAACTCGTCTTGATGGATTTCTGTCTGACCTAATGCTGTTCTCACATGAGGTCAAATTTAGCAGAAGCGGATGTCAAGCACTTAAAGGTACAGCATATCTCAGTATATACCGTCCATGAGGACTTGTTTAAAACACGTTTAAAATTCTTATATAATATAAAAACTCTGAATTCATGCTGGTTTCAGATAGGTGTAACCATACCGTGAATACATGTAAGCGCACATCTTATTTAAAATTTTACAGTTTGCTTTTTGTTTTTGTTTTGTTTCATTTTTGCACATATCATAACTTTAAAGATTTTAGGGAGTCACACCCCATGACATTTTAAGGCATGAACCTTCCTTGCCTTGTCCTTAGAAAGTCAAATTGTCTGATAAATTAACACGCTCTTTTCACGCACCACATGACTTTGCTTTGTTGGATGAGTTTTTCATATAATAATTAGCATTGAAGCAGTTTAGTCAAGATTTGATTTATATATATATATATATATATATATATATATATATATATATATATATATATATAGACTTTATTTTTTTTTTTGATTAGACCAAACT